TCTTATCAAGGTTAGTGTTAACAAAATTACAAGAAGTCTACGCAGGTGGCGATAACAATAACGAAGGTAGTAATATGCGTGTATATGTAGACAATTCAATAAATAAGTTAGGTCAAACCTCAAAAGTTACGTAATACTAAAGATAGGTGAAGTGCACAGATAATCAGAGTTGAAATAACTGTCATAAAAGTACGAAGGAAATGAAAAATAAGAAAGAGTGGGAGAGTTTTTAATTAGAATTTACCTAGGTCAAGGGAGAGACAAAGGTGGAACAAACTTCTGTTGTTATATGCAAAGACTAGGATTGTTCTCTCGAATTAATTCCCATAGCTTCGGCTATGTGTAAAAGGTGAGTTCGAAAGGTTCGATGGAATGCGATACATAACCTTGAAGGCACTTCTCCTATCCACTTAGTGACTGCTATCATCAATCAAATGTGACAAAATAGAACTTCTTATAGATTTTATTTTGCCTTCTTCTATCAGTCGATTTAGAATTTCAGAAGGAAAATGAGTTCTTTCAAGATTGCAGATACTTCTTGATGACGGCTTACAGCGGGCACTAAACTAGGTTAAAGGATTCCTGCCTATTGACTCTCCAACCATCTAACAGCAGATATGTCGCCGCCTATGTTAGACATGAATAGTTAGAACAAAGTCTGAATTCGTAACTCCAGTGATTAGCCAATGATGTGACAACCTGGGCCAAGGGTAAATAAGACTTGATTTTCTACTCTGTCGACTCAAAGGCCAATGTCAACCCATCTGTTTACTTAATATTCTTAGTGGGTGTTTGTTTAAAGGATTGATAGTTAAGTGAACTCCTTCACGTTCCCCAGTGGAACATAGGGCTTCAGACTAGTGGCTTGAAGTTTCTGTAGCAGCGTTTATTTTTACAGGATGGGGTTGCTAACCTCATGCCCAACCTTTCCTCTTTACCAGAATTGTTTCTGACTTAGCGAGGTAAAGGAGTGCGTCGGCTGGGGACCGAACCCCGGCCCATGTGTATGGTCGGCGAGCGTCCTAACCGCTGTGCCACCTACGACAGTTAAGGCTCAGTATTACACAGAAGTTTATAGTTGCAGATCAGATAACATGGTTTCGCTTCAACTTTATTTGAAGCACATTCCTTTAGACGTAGTTCTGAAAGCGTGTGGACATATTATCACTGTAAACCTACTCTCCCTCTCTCTCTCTCTGACTATTGTATTTCGTCCTAACTTTTGTCGTTGGATTAATTACTGAGGTTACAAAAGCTTTTGTTAATCTAAAACGAGACAAAGCAACAGGACCTAGTGAAATTACTGAAGAGGTATTTAAGTACGTTGGAGGAAGTCTACTGTCTTCGTTAACTGAGGTACTAGGCAACGTGTGGGAATCAGAGGAAGTCCCGTCGAGTTGGTGTAAGTCATTGATTATCCCCGTATACAAGAACGGAGACAGGTCTTCCTGTGATAATCACGGGGGGATTAGCTTGTCTAATTTGGCATCTAAAGTCCTAAGCTCAATAATATTGCGTAGACTAGCTGGTGCTCGGGAGGCATAAACACGAGGGAACTAGGCAGGCATGAGACCAGGAAGGGGGTGTATTGATTATATCTTCATCCTTCGGCAGATTCTAGAACATAGGCATTCTTACCGGCTTCCAACAATCGTTATATTTCTTGACCTAAAGGCGGGATTCGATTCTGTCGACCGAGAGGTACTCTGGCGATGCTTGGCTGTGAAGAGGACACCGAGAAAATACATTGCATTCATCAAGGCACTCTACTCGAACTCATGCAGCCAGCCAGGTGAGAGCCTACGGAGAGTTGTCATCTGTTAACTGTGATGATAACCAGTGTTATCCGTCGTCAGGGACGCCCACTGTCCTAATCTTTGTTTAATTCCGTCATGGGTGTATTAATGGACTTAACCCTAAGTGACTTCAGCGAATCAGAGATTGACTTGTTACCAGGGAATGGTGTTGTTGACTTAGAATATGCAGATGAAATAGTGCTTCTAGGTGAAGATGTTGACAAAATGCAGAGTCATCTTCTGAACGCCTTGACCAGCAGTCATCGAATGTTTGGCATGCGATTCGCTCCTGCTATCAAATGTAAGATGATGCCACAAGACTGTACTACATTGATTCGTAGCTTAAAGACAGAGAGTGAAATTGTAGAGCGTGTTGATCACTTCACTTATTTGGGAAGTTGCATTAACTCTAATCAAATGATTTTTGACGAAATCTCAGCCTTCTGTATACAGAAGGCTCGTTTGACATATACCAGTGTACACCGTCTCTGGTTTAGTAGACGTGATATCTGGTTGTCGACCATAGGACGCGTATACTGCTCAGCAATTCGCTCTGTCCTCCTGTATGACTGATAGACCTGGTAATTGAAAGTGGAGGGCATGAAAAGACTAGCTGTCTTTGACCACATGTTCATTTTCTATTTCCCGCGTGAAGTGGTATAATATCTTCAGTAATACTGAGGTTAGTCATCGAGTAAAAGTAAATCAATTGACAAGGTTGAGTAGGTGGATCGATTGAGATGACTAGTACACATGTTCAGCTTGCAGAACCTTCGGCTTCCTCGACAGGCAGTCATAGCCGATATGCAGTTAGTTTCGAAAAAGGTTAGCTGTAGTCAAACCGAAATTGGAATCAGTTAGTTAAATCATTCACAGTTAGAACAATGTCGGGAGGTGTAGACTGCGTGATTGGGGTCCTCGGGATGGCGAGGACCAATATTTGGAGACTATTAATGATATGACTTAAAACCATTGCCAATGGCTTCAAGTCCTTACTGGTTAGTGTGAACAGTCTTCAACTACTCATATGGATCAATAATGTGTCATTTTTTCTTTTGTTCTCTTTCCTAATGGAACATAAGGTCTCAAGCTTTGATCGTTGAAGTCGTAATAACTGTGATGTTCATTTTTTACAAGATGGTATCATCAGCCTCACGCTCAACCTCCCCACTTTACCGAGATGACTGACTGCCCGTTAGTCAAGGTTTAGAGGCGGGTCTCTGCCGGTGATCGAACCCCGGACCATGTGGGGCGTAGTCTACGAGTATCCTACCACTGAATCATCGATAGCATATGCTGTAATATTATTTCGAGTCTTTTTTTATCCAATAAGTACTTCCCTTTACACATTCATTTCGTATTTGTGCATCAGTGGTGTCCAATATAGCCGAATGCTCGTCAACTGTGTGGTACGTGCGGAAATGTCTGAAAAAGAGGGGGAGATTGTGTGTGTGTGTGATACTAAAACCTTCATCCACCCCCACACCCTCTCTACCACCCATCAAGAAACTAATCAGAACTCGGGAGGAACAAACGAAGGAAAATCAAGCAGGCTCTAGGCCAGATAGAAAATGCATATATCATATCTTCACTCTCCGACAGATCCTAGAACATAGACACACTTTTAGGCGTCCAACAATTGCCATATTTCTTGACTTGAAGGCGGCCTTCGACTCCGTGAATCGGAAGGTACTATGGCAATGTTTGACTATGAAGGGAGTGCCAAGGAAGTACATTGCACTAATCAAAGCACTCTACTCAAACTCACGTAGCCGTGTTATGGCTTATGGGGAATTGTCATCTGAATTGATAACAACCAGTGGTGTCCGTCAAGGATGTCCAGTTCCTCATTCCTGTTTAACTTCATAGATATGCTAATGGAAGTATCCTTAACTCAACTTAACGACTTAGGAATCGACTTGTTACCAGGGAATAGTCTTATGGACTTAGAATATGCATATGACATAATCCTGTTAGGGGAGGATGCTGACAAAATAGAGCAGAGTCTTCTGAACACCCTGAGCAGCAATCTTCGTATGTTTGGCATCCGATTCGCCCCTGTAAAATGTAAGATGCTGCTACAAGACTGGACTACGTCAACTCCTAACTTAGCAATAGTGATAGGGAGTGAAGTGATAGAACATGTTGACCACTTCACCTATTTGGGAAGTTGTATCAGCACCAACGGATTGATTGGTGACGAAATCTCAGCACGGATCCAAAAAACTCGAGCCGCTTTCGCTAACTTACACCATCTCTGGCGTGGGCGTGACATCCGACTATCAACCAAGAGATGTGTGTACTGCTCATCAGTTCGCTCCGTCCTTATCTATGGTTCTGAAACATGGCCAATACGAGTTGAAGACATGAAAAGGTTGACTGTTTTTGATCATAGATGTCTACGATCTGTTTCTCACGTTAGGTGGTATAAGGTATAAGGTAAGTAATGTTGACGTTAGGCGTAGGGTATTGGTTGGGCAGAGGGAAAGTCAATCGACGAGGCTATAAAGTTACATAGATTGAGATGGCTAGGTGACGTGCTGCTCATGCCTAACCATCGCCTCCGTGCCCCCGACGGACGGGCATTACTAGCTGATATAGGTGTTGTGGGTTGGAAAAGAGTAAGTGGTGGTGCCCAGAGAAAAACATGGCCTCATCAATCCATGAACTCGTTGACAGTTAAACTGAGTTAGGTGGGGAGGGAGATGCAGACTTCCTCCGGGTTGGGGCCCGCCTTCGGGACTCTAAGAATCAATCAGTGGCTGGAGACAATAGGTGACATGGCTGAAAATCGTTGTCAATGGCTAGCGCAGATGTATTCAGTCTCTGTAATCTTTCATATTCCTTTCTACCACTACTCATTCTGTTTCATTCACTCTTATACTTGTCAAAACTCTATTGATTCTCTTCACTCTTCTTCATGTCTCTACCTTTGTGTGGTATTTGGAACGTGGCAACTCGAAGTGGTGCACTTCGGTGGCAAGTTCTATGTTGAATCCAGACAGACAGATAGACAGACCCATCAAAGCACCACTACTTGCACTTGAGACAGCTCAAAAGGCTAGAAGCCACATATGCCAATCGAGAAATGTAAAAAATTGAGAGAGAAGAAAGAATGCTATCCTATGTCAAACTATTCCTCCTCATAAAATTTCTTTCTTTTTTCTTTTCTTTCCTTTTCTTTCTGTTGTATGCTATGTGTAGATACAGTCAAGCAGCTAAAATTATTGAATCACGTCGAACAAAATACACGGATTTTGAATTGATTAAAGTCATTGGCCAAGGGGGATTTGGTCGAGTGGAATTAGCTCGACACAAACGTACACGACGCGTGTATGCCATAAAATTAATGAGTAAACAACACCTATTGGATCATAGTCAATCCGGTTATTGGGAAGAACGTGATGTTATGGTAAAAGCATCAAGTGAATGGTTAGTAGCTTGTCATTATGCATTTTTGGTGAGTCATTATTGTTGTTCTTGTTGTTGTTGTTCTCATGTTGGTATTGGTGTTTTTGTTTGTTGGTGTGTGTCAAGTTTTCTGTTTCTTCCCCCCTCTCTCTGTCTCTCTCCTTTTTTAGTTGATTTATTTGTTCACTTTTGATTTGATTTTATCTACCTACACTCTTATTGATCAGATCCAGTGCTCACACAGACTTAACTTCCAGGGGTAAAACTGCATACTATTGATTGATTAATTGATTGATTGAGATGAGTAGATGTTGTTTATACCCACTCACATCAACCAGTAAGTAAGTAATGCTTTTAGTAGCAGCCAGCTAAATGAAAGTGGCAAGCGAAAAAACGAACAAACAACAAACTGGCTGAAGAGACTGGCAGCGAAGACACGACTCCAAGTGGACATAGAGAAGATGGAGGTGATGATGAAGATAACCAACCAACCAACAGCAACAACAACAAACAGAACTAACCACTATCAAAAAGGGAGAGATTTAACAGAGGAGGTTACTTCCTTCACTGATCTAGGTAACCAGCGTTTTTTTAAGTACAGGCTAGCGGAACGGATGAAGATGTCAAAGCAAGCCAGCCAGAATCGGAAAGGCTAGATACGCCTTCTTCTGAACTCAGTCTCAACATCATAACGAACAAAATTCGGATTCTATTCAACACAAATGTGAAGTCAGTCAGACACTGCTTCTTCTATACGGGTCAGAGACTGGGCCAGCGTTTTACTACGGGAAGGATTTCCAACAGGTCACTGCAGACTTTCATCAACAGCTGGGCCCACTTCGCTGGCCGGCTCCATACTGAAGATCGAATGGCTGTCTAGAAAGAATTAGTAACAAGAAACTGTGGCTGGCTGGCTGGGAACAAACCAACCAAGAGCCGATCGCTCAACAAGTGTATGTAGGAGAAAATGGAGATGGATTGGTCGGGAATACATTCAGGAGACCGTCGAATGACATCTCTTCATCAATGCAGACCAGCGCTAGAGTGGAATTCCAACAGGAAACGACGAAGTGGGTCGTCGTCAGTTCGAGGGTAACATGTAGGAGATCGTATGGTGAGCAGAAGATGAGAGAGTTTGGGTAATCGTTGGACCCAGCTGAAGTGGATGGCAGAAAATCGAGCGAAGTGGAGATGCTTTGTTGAAGCGCTATGTGTTGTTCCACTCTGAACCCACGGGAATAATAATAAATAATAGATGGAAGTGGTTTGGTGGTCGTTTCGATTGTTTGTCGCCGACCTCATCATAGGTGTGTGTGTGTGTGTAACCATTTTGAATGACACTTGGCTCATAGTGTCGATTCACTTCAAACCACCCGATTTCTGGCCAGCTACATTTGGGGCGTCTGACAATTCCATAAATCATCAAATTCTCAATTCGTGGAGGAGTGAAATTTCATTACAGTTTTTTGTTTGGAGATCGAAATTAACTCAGATCACCCACAATATATGATTTGACGAATTGTCAAACAAAAATAAAAAACCTGGGAGTACTGGACAGCTGTTTCGTCCTAGTTTGGGACTCTTCAGCAGTACGCACCCACCGCGATTCGAACCCAGGACCTTCTGGTTACAAGGCGAGCTCGGAGACCATTAAGCCACTGGGACTCGATCCAATGGTCAGTGCGTGAATTCTAACTTCTGCCAATTAACGACATAACGCGACCGCTAGCCAATGTCTTCGGCGAGTATTTGTCCTCACACCTGACCTGCTGCACCCTACTGGTCATGGCTTCCCACTAGAACCCCAGGTTAACTGCCTGAATAGGGCCAGTCACTAGTGAGCATCAGATTGATTTTCAAGTATTGGTTTTGTAGGGATTTTGTTTGATTGCATGGAGGATTTCATCATGAGCTGACGTCAGTTAGGGAGCCACTGAAACAGCTGTCCAGTACTCCCAGGTTTTCCAGTGGTTCTCTAACTGATGTCAGCTCATGATGAAATCCTCCATGCAATCACAAAATCCCTAGAAAACCAATACTTGAAAAATAGAAAAATTAGAGTTATTGTTTACGTCATCATCAGAATGTTTCAAAAATATGTGATGAATGATCATAATGTGACTAGGGCTAGGGTGGGGGTGAAGATTGTTAAGTATTGACAAGGGTTGAGTAATATAAATGACACTCGGTAAAATAGTATGTTAATGAAAGAGGAGTGTGGATTCAAGTGTCCAAACTAAATTATGTGATGATAGGTAGAAAGTGTAGATAAAGGCGTTGGTTAAGAAAAAAATGTCACCTGAAAATCACACAAAAATGCAAAACAGTCATTATTATTATTATTGTTCCCTTTGGTTCCTAGTGGAACATAGGACTTCGACTGCACGTCTCCACTTGCTTCTGTCTTCTGCTGTACTTTTCACCTACATCCATGTTAGTTTATACTGTTTCAACTTCTCTTCACACGATCTCCTCCATGTCACCCTCGGACGTCCCACTCGCCGCTTCCCTTTCCGGTTCCAATCGAGCGTTGGCCTGACGCGCGATGTCACCCAGTGGCCTCCTCAGCCAGTGTCCAATCCATCTCCACTTTCTCTTGTATATTTGTTGAGCGATTGGTTCCCGTTTTGTTTGTTCCCATAGTTTCTTGTTGGTGATTCTTTCCGGCCATCTGATCTTCAATATAGAACGAAGACAGTTGTTGACAAATTTCTGCAACAGGCTGTTGGAAATAAATATTCTTTGTGACACACTGGCCAAGTTTCTGATCCGTATAGAAGAACTGACTGACTTGACGTTTGTATTGAAAATCCGGATCATTTTGTTGTTGATGCAGGCTGAGTGACGAAGATTTCCAGATTTGTTTCAGGTTGATGAATGTGTTTCTCGCTTTCCCGATTCTCGATTTGACATCCTCGTTGGTTCCTCCTGTAGTTGAGACAATGCTCCCTAGATAAGTGAATGAAGTAACCTCTTTCAAATCCCTCCCCTTGATGGTGATTGGCGCTGGCTGTTGCTGCTGTTGTTGTTGGTTGGTTGGTTATCTTCATAACCTCCGTCTTGTCTATGTTCACCAAAAAGTCATACTACTTGGGTATAATTCGAAGTAAGTTCCTATTTTTCTGAGTGTCTTTCATATTACGCGACCCATGTCAATACTTAACAATCTTCACCCCCCCCGCGACCTCCTCTGGTTACAGTTTGATTACTCATCACATTTTTGAAACATTTTGATGAAGTGAACAATAACCCTAACTAATTTTTACTGTATGTTTGTTTGACAATCCTAATATATGCACACACAGGCAGACACACAAACAAAATAATTAACGAATTGTCTCTGTGATTCAAATTAATCCATGTGTGTACACTACTAATGCAGTTTGAACCCGAATAAACGAAAGTGTTTCGATTACTTTGGGTTCTCTAGTTGACAATATAAATGTAGTGTATATGTGCACGTGTGTGTGTGTGTGTGTTAACTGGACAATGAGCGACACCTGTTGTGTACTACTGGCCGACGAAACAACCTTGCTTTACGAGTGGAACATAGGGTCGACCAGGCTGCGAAATTACATCGACTGAGATGGTTAGGACATGTGTTACGTAGGCTTAGTCATCGCCTTCATCGACCCAACAGGCACTGTTAGCTGATATAGGGTCAGGCTGGAAAAGAGCTAGCGGCGGTCAAACCACAACATGACACCAGTCAATGAAGTCTACAACAGTCAGTCTAAGCCACGTAGGAAAGTGTAGACTTCCTGACTGGTTGGGGTCTTCGGAACTGTAAAATCCAATGGCTGGACACAATCGGTGATATGGCTGGCTCAATGGCGCAAATGCATCCATTCCTTGTGACTTATGATCTCTAATTAAACTGTTTCGTTCTTCGTTATTACTATTCCTTTGTCTCACACCTCTGTTTACTGTCTATACTATTATGCATTTTTCCTACTTTCTTCTCTTGCTTTGTGTGCTATATGCAGGAGGGAGTGTGGCGACTTGAACTGCTGCACATATGTGCAAAGTTCTATGTCGAAAACAGACAGACAGGAACATAGGGCTTCAAATATTTGAAATTCCAGTAGTGTAGTGGTATTGTTTTGTCTCATGAGGCGGCGAAGTTGCAAGTCACACACACACCCAACCTTACTCGCACCCGGTAAACTAGCCAAAGTTTAGAATGCGTCGACTGGTGGGAATCGAGCCCTGACCTCTGAATGGGGGTGGGTGGGTTGGCAAACATTCTACAATATTTTTATTGATTAAAACACCCTGGACGACACGTTTGAAGGCCAGTGACTGGGTAAGTCCAGGTCAGAAAGACAGACTGCTCAGTTTTTGGCATGTACAACTGTTAAGATTTTGTAAGTAGTGTTATGAGAGATGTTTCACGCAGGAATATTGAATCGCGAGTAGTGATGTGTAGATTAAATGTCGAAGAGGAGAAGAAATGAAGCGTCCTAATGTAAATAGAAATTTCCTGTATTTTGACATAACTGTATATCATATTTTCACAAAAGAGAACAATTCCGCCATCGAATACACTGTTGTTGTTACAAGTCACTTGCACAACCTGTAGAGAATATTGTTCACATTCGAGGCAGTTGATTTATGAGTGTCGGTGTGCAGAGATTTAATTGGTTACAGATGTTATGATCAGGAGCTGACATCAGTTAGAGAAACAGTAGAAAACCAACTGGGAGTACTGGACGATGGCTGTTTCGTTGTAGTTTGGGTCTCTTCAACAGTCTGCCACTACCAGGGGTGTTCGAACCCAGGACTTCGTGGTCACAAGTCAAGATCGTAGACTATTCACAGTCACTGAGACCCGATCGAATGACCAATCCATAAATTCCACAGCTTCGACTGCCAGTCAATGTCATCAGCGAGTAATTGTTCTCTTTTACCTGATTTGTTGGCCCCCCGGTTGGTGCGTACTGCCTAAAAGTCCCGAACTGAAATGATGAAACAGCTGTCCAGTACTTACTTCTTGGTTTTCGATGGTTCTACAAACCGACGTCAGCTCGTGACCGAACCTGTAATGCA